CTCCAATACCAACTCAGATTCCCCTGGAATACTACCTTCCTCTGGTTAGATTCTTGTGATGCAACACAGATTCATAAATCAATTCGTAGATTTCAAATGAGATTTTTTTTTTATCTTCAGGATATATGTTACCTTACTACAACAAACACTTTGTTATAGAAGAGCTCTACACTCAGAAGCCTATCAAATGTCTGTCATGATCATGAATTGTCAAAAGATTTTGTAGGAATTATTGATAGTCAAAGTTACGTTCTTTGAAATCCAGCTCTGTAATGACTGAAGGATTTCCAAGTACATAACTGTACATGTAATTGACTTTGAAATCCAGCTCTGTGATGACTGAAGGATTTCCAAGTCAATAACATGTACATGTAATTCCAGAAAAGAAAACTTGATATCTATAATGTGTCCTAACATTTTCATTATTGTCAGTTTTATTTACAATTGTTGTCGAAACACAAACCCCAGAAAGCTGTATTTATATTGTTAATGATAATCAATGGAGACATTAGTTTTTGTATCTTGTCTGACTTCATGTTTAGGTTTATAAGATACGACCCTCAACCTGACGATCCTGATGAGTGATATTTCCCTAACCACACAGATATGTGCTACTTCCTTTATACTTTCAACCACACCAATGTGATCTGCACCCTCAATGAGCCGGTGAATCCTTCCTTCCTGTTCAGTTATCCTCACAAAATATGCAGAGTAATTTCCTGATAGAGATTGCTTTACACACACACTATTGAGACTGAACCATACAGATAACAGCGATCGAATTACTGGTAAATTTACAAGGATGTTTCAATGTGTAATTATGACTTGCAGTTGATGGGTTTTTGTTTTTGCTTACTTCTACAGCCAATTAAATACAGCAAAAAGTTGGTTTTGTTTCCAGAAATATCGAAAATAGAACACCTAACACCCGTCCTCAAGTCTTTGACCTGGTTACCAGTACTAGAAAGCAAATCAAACTTAACCATTCTATGAAATTCACTAGTGTACCGTAAGGGTTCATGAGGTACCATATCATTTTAATATCATTATGTCATTATTCATAAGGATAATTTTAAACAACAGAAGGCTATTGTCTATAGTACAGGTATTATCAGAGCGAACTTCCTATGCTATATGTTTAAACAAATACATTATCATTTAAAATAGCTTTAAACATAAAAACTGCATACCTGAATAAAGTAATTTCAGATGAAATGATCATAAATGTTCAAAACTCCTGAGAACAATTGGTTAAAGTAATAAATATTTATCTATACATATATACATTTGGACTGTCGATCATTACAACAGATTACATCATGTTTTAAAATGTACCAATATACACCCTTGAGATAGCAGTTACATGAGTAAGAAATAAATATACTTTGAACTATGTAAACTATTCCCGTGAGCTATTGTCATGATCCTGATTGAGACAATGGTAATGTTTTCCACATATCATATCTGCATAGGTGCGTTTAAATGCTTAGAGTGTCACTAAAGAGACGTATTCTCCACTCTGACAGACGTGTCGATTTGACTTACGATAAATACTCCAATGAATGCTTTAATGCTGTCACAATAAATCACAGACAAGGTCTGCTGAATCTCTGATAAAAAACAAACAGCCTCGACAGCAACCTTTCAATAACAATTGTTACCCAACCCAGCATTGCCTAACCTCTCTAATTAGATAAGTGTTTGTTTTACTGTACCACGACACAGATCAAGCTGGAGATTTCCTGATTTGTCCCAACCTGTGAAAATTCACTGGTAATTGTGGTAAAGAGCCGAGGAGTGATACAGTGCACCAAATTAGCTATTGCGTAGTTATATTATTATCCTACCCACCCTCGGTACAGAAAAGGCCAAAAGGTCCTGTCACAACACATTGTAACAGAAATAGCACATCCATCGGACAACATTAATCATAAATAATTTTGAAACCATAACGGGCTACACATTGTTGTGCCTTCTAAAATATTTTTAAATCAAAAAAAAAAAAAATCTGCTAATGTTGCTTTACTTTTGTTTTTTCAGAAATGAAATATTATAGGAAACACATTCTTCTACAATCATATGATCCAACTCCTGTGTTATGCAACAAATGATAACATTTGTCATGTTTATCACACAAAGGTGATGGACCTGGATCAGTGTGTATTTTCAAGTGTCATAAAATGCAACCGGGAACACTTCCTTAGTAGGAATTTCACTTTTATTGCACTTCTTAAATTTCAGAAATAATGAACAATCTTTATTTTCAGACTTATTAGGCCTAACACCAAAACCACAATAAGCTTTAAAGTAAAACCCATTTTAGAAAATTGACCTTAACCTTCGGTTCACATTATAAAGACCTGGAGATCTAGACACACAAGATACAATTTAAACAGATTAGGAATGGTAAGTCTGTCGGGACTTACAGAGTAAATATTTAGTTCAGTCTTGAAGTCTGTAAGACGAGCTCTGACAAGTAGTCATCCAAACTAATCGTGCATATTGTCTATACGCTGAAGAATGTCCACGCCGTACCCTAATGAGTACAAGTACCATTGTTACAGGAGGTTAAGCTGGGGTTTTCACTAGCAATATACAACCACAGTTATTGTTCCGATAAACTTGATCTCCTGATATTAAGAAAAAGTATTGTTCTGAAAACAAACAAGAACAGACCAAAAAAATATTTAAAAGGTTATTTGAGAAATGCCTGAACTAGAAAAAACAAGGCAAAGTACTGTTTCAAATGCATGTTTTTCCAACTTCCAGAATTAAAGGCTTGCAAAAAACCATCATAAAAAATCAACTGAATGAGACGTCCTCACCAATGGTAGGGCGCACAGATTTGTAAACATTAAAGCTCAATACAGCAGTGCCTAAACATTCAGCCATAACATAGTGAGACGAATGGATTAACGGAACAATGCTGTTAAGGAAAAGGCCACTTGTCTTAAATTAAAATATTGACTGGATAGTGGGACAAAGGTATCTATGTTGGCTGGATAATGGTACAACTGGATAAGTGCACATGATGGCAAGACAGTGGAACTGTATTAATGGTGGCTGGATAGTGGGACAACTAGATTAGTGGTGGCAGGATAGTGGGACAACTGGATTAGTGGTGGCTGTATAGTGGGACAGCAGTATTAGTAGTGGCAGGATAGTGGGACAACTAGATTAGTGGTGGCAGGATAGTGGGACAACTAGATTAGTGGTGGCTGGATAATGGGACAACTGGATTAGTGGTGGCTGGCTAGTGGGACAACTAAATAAGGGGTGGCTGGAAAGTGGGACAACTGGATTAGGGGTGGCTAGATAGTGGGACACCATGATAAGTGTTGGCTGGGTAGTGTGACAACTGGATTAGTGGTGGCCGGAAAATGGGACAACTGGGTTAGTGGTGGCTGTATAGTGGGACAACTAGATAAGTGGTGGCTGGATCGTGGGACAACTGGATTAATGGTGGCTGGATAGGGGGACAACTAGATTAGTTGTGGCTGGATAGTGGGAAAACTAGATTAGTGGTGGCCGGAAAATGGGACAACTGGGTTAGTGGTGGCTGGATAAAGGGACAGCTGGATTAGTGGTGGCTGGATAAAGGGACAGCTGGATTAGTGGTGGCTGGCTAGTGGGACAACTAAATAAGTGGCGGCTGGATAGTGGGACAGCAGGATTAGTAGTGGCAGGATAGGGGGACAACTAGATTAGTGGGGGCTGGAAATAGGGACAACATGATTAGTGGTGGCTGGATAGTGAGACAACTGGATTAGTGGTGGCTGGATAGTGGGACAACTAAATAAGTGGTGGCTGGATAGTGGGACAACTGGATTAGTGGTGGCAGGATAGGGGGACAACTAGATTAGTGGGGGCAGGATAGTGGGACAACTGATTAGTGGTGGCTGGATAGTGGGACAACTGATTAGTGGTGGCTAGATAGTGGGACAACATGATAAGTGTTGGCTGGATAGGGGGACAACTGGATTAATGGTGGCTGGATAGTGGGACAACTGGATTAGTGGGGGCTGGAAATAGGGACAACATGATTAGTGGTGGCTGGATAGTGAGACAACTGGATTAGTGGTGGCTGGATAGTGGGCCAACTAAATAAGTGGTGGCTGGATAGTGGGACAACTAAATAAGTGGCGGCTGGATAGTGGGACAACTGGATTAGTGGTGGCTGGAAATAGGGACAACATGATTAGTGGTGGCTGGTTAGTGAGACAACTGGATTAGTGGTGGCTGGAAAGTGGGACATTAAAGCTAGCTTTATAAAGAGAGTGAGACAACCGAATTAATCGGTGGCTAGATAGTAGGTCAACCATTTAGCTGTGGCCAGAAAATGGTTAAACTTATTTAGAGGTCATTGGATTAATGAGGTTCAATCTGTATAATCATGCAAGATTAAGTGACCAATCGAGTCATTGTGGAAAAGATATATGGATTAAGACAGAATGTGAACAGTACAGAGACTACATAAATACTACCCCAGCCAACCCTATCTCCTCCTTTATATTCCAGTATACTCCAGTATACTTTGTCCAGGGATCCTTCATGATCAGCCATTATCTGGCCTGGTTGAATAGGAAACCTATCAAACCTGATGTCTGGCCGTATGTCTATTGAAGGTGAAGAATGATGTGTTTGTACTTAGCGGACCTCGTGTCCAGCTAAGGGTCTATTCATGGTAGAGAATCAAGTGTCAGCGACTTAGCTAGACCTCAGCAGGACACTGTTGACTGTTGACCATCACAGGTATATGTAATGTACACACCGGTAATTCCGCTCCCATTTCCCATCAAAGACATAGCTGTTTTGTCCAACCTGAAATAACTGGGTAGGTTGGCATACAGGACCTACCCACCCAGCGGGCTACCAGTACAACACAAGACAAGGAGAGGATTGACCACTCACTCTACCTGTAGGTCACGAGACAAGGGTGACCACAAAGTAATAGGACAGACCATAGGTGACCCTCCATAAGACATGGCTCTCTCACTTACCACATGAACAGCAAACAAAGCACTTGGTATGATACAGGTTGCCCATAGCCTGACAAGCCTCGCTGGATCCCGCCACACGATCACCACACGCAAAGCACTGGCCTGAAACAAAAAGCAACAAGTCAAACTCTCCATATAGACGCATACGAAGCAATGGCCTAAAATCTATCACTACACTGGAATGACCAATCTGCGCATACAAAGCAATGCCATGGCCTATACTGTAACACCAAACTGAAATGGTCAAATCAATTTGATGGTCAGATTGAAGCCCTGGCCTGAAACAGAAAGTGACAAACTCCACATACAATGTACTGGCATGGCCTGAAATCTATATAACCGGAGAGTAATGGTCAAGTCAAAGACTCCACACTTTAGCATTGGCATGACAGAAAAGGTATAAGCAAGTCAAAGGTCACAGAATTCAAAGCCATGAATTAAAACTAATTATCAAACTGCCTGAAATGTAACAATTAACAATTGCAAGCAAATCATTTACCTAAAATTCCAAAAATGCAATAAAGCACTGGTCTGGAAGAGAAAACAACACAAATCTTACACAGAAGTTAAACAACTTATTAAACTACTATTCATTACAAATGAATTAAACAGATCACAAAGCTATAATCAGTGTATTGATTTCAAACTACAAAGCACTAGCCTGAAACAACATCCTTATTTTAAAATACGGTGCCATTCTTAATTCTATTTAAATAAAAAAAATCTTGAATGTCATGGTATTCAGGAAACGTTCACCCGGTCACGTTTTACAGACTACTGGTAAACCCGATATTTCTCTGGTGTTCATTTGGCCCTGATCATGTCATTGGTGTATATTATGTTAGGTACTAATTTCCAATATTAGGATAAATTCACCTCATTGAAGAGGGCAAAAAAATGATTATTTTAATGATCAACCATTTTCCGGGTTAACATGTATATACAGTACTTGTCAAAAGGGGATTCACCAATCAATTTCTTACAACCCTGTCATTGTATTGCGATAACATTCCTCTTCAAGGGCCTTCAAAATAGCCATCAAACCCTGCACTATAAAATATAATTTATAATCCCCCCCCCAGGTCATAGAAAATAGCGTTATAACTGGTAGTTCCGTTTATCTTTGAGGTATATGTTTTTCACACAAAACAGAAATTTAACTTGACAGAATCAAAAAACGTCAATGTGTTGCAACATTTGTATATGCACTTAGCTTATACATGCAGTTACCTTATACAACAGCTAAGATACAGCTTGAAGAATTGAATACATGTACCCCAATGCTAAGATTGATCTTGGACACGATTGGGTTAGAGGAAAGTTTGGCTTTCTACCCCAAAACAGACCCACATTCCAGGGAGACAGGTGGTCGAGGCCAATGAAAACAAGCGCCCCTTGAATGTGGACGGACCGTTAGAGGTAAAAGGGTGTAATAATCCTACAGTCTGTAACAGTCAATACGGAGAAATCCTCCACAGTGAGCCTGGTATGTCCAACATTTACCTGTGTTTGATTAAATTCTCAAAAGCTACTGTAGCTTGGTAGAATCACCTGTTCATTTGGATATCAAAATACTTCACATACAAGTAAATAATGAAACACAAAGAATAGTGCTTAGATAAAAGTGAAACCCTTTTGAAAGTTCAACAAACTACAAAGCAGTTTTAAGTGCATATATTCAATTCAAAAGCTTTTGTTAAGATTCAAAACATTTAAAAGTTTCACTCTATCATTCAAATAGTCCCAAGAAAATTCCTCTCACTCACGTAAGTATGATAAATGACAAAGATATTCTTAATACAATTTACTAAAGTGTTTTCATTGTAGTGAGGACAATTTTGAAAAGAATTCCTGAAAAAAAGGTCTCTAGACATGCATCTGAAAAGGTGACACTGGCCTATTGCTGGGTATACCCATGGTGACACAAAGACCTATGACTCATGCTACGCGCATCCGATCACCTGACGTGTCTATTCATCAAGAAAGCGTCATAATTTGTCATTAAAAGCAAAATAAAATAAAGTCCCTTGAAACTAAATTAAATACCACCTTAAGATCTTTTTAAAAAGACTTTTTAAATCCAATGTTCAATATTACTTCTGGTAGATTTAATTTTATTTGGTTGAATAGTCACCTGAAATAAAGCCGGGACATAAAACACCATGAATCATGTCCTCTGTTTGTCCACATTTCACTGTTTATCTTTCAGTCTTAAAGGTTTGGTAGACATACAATTAATGTACTGTAGCTTAAATGCATACTACGAAATTGTGTACGAAAGGTACTTTTCATGTTTACCTAAATCATTTATTTATATTAAAGGTTGAACAGTTATATCTACAGCATGCTAACCTATAGATACATGTATGGACAATTCCAAATCCATAATGGCTTTGGACCGATCATTATGTTTTTAGGATTTATAATCTGGTGTTTTGGATTTTCAAAACATAATTCTTATTTTTCCAGTCTTTGCAGCATTTACAATCACAATCTTTCTATACATTCAAGGAAAGATTTTACAAATGTAACAGGTTGTATATAATTGTCAGGTGGAGACAGAGAGTGGGGGTGGGTAGGGCAGTCTGGATACAAGTCAATTTGGGGAAGGGGCTATCGACCCCCACCCTCTGTGTACTTTTAATATACATTTGAACTTTCATTTTTCAGTGCCTTTTAATATATATTTTTTAATAACACATTTGATCTCATGGCCACCTTTATAAACTGTACAGGTAAATTATATAGTACAGCTATACAACTATTTGAACTTTGTAGGTGATATCAGACAGAATCAGCATGGTACACCTGGCCAGTAATCTGTTTCTAAAGTACATGGGATTAAAGACGACATTAACGACAGGTACAAATATACCCATATCTGTACCTGTGAAAGTTTAATACAAACAGTGATTAAAACCCTAGGAATGTCCTTACATGGCACAGAACAAAGCCACGAGAAAGGCTTCCTGCACAAGTGTGGTGGTTGGCTTGTACAGATATTAGTGGCACTACAAAAATGTACTGTAACTATGATGAGGTCACTAGTATTTATCATTGAGCCTAATTCTGGGTTGGGTATGTAAGCGCATGTCCGATTGCCTTACAAACTTTTTTTATTTCCCTATTTTTATTTTGTATTTTTCTTATAAATTTCTATTGGTGTGCCAACTAGTATTTAAATGATAAATATCTTGACAAATGTACCCTAGCTACAGGTAAATATCACTTGTGTCATTGTTAACTGAACAGGTTTTAATAGTAATTTGAAGAAGATACAGTAGGAGGAAGTGATTCACTCTGGTACCAATATACCAAGATATTATTATTGAATATGATATCATTCAATTTTTTTATGTGATGTCACACTTATATTACAGGCCATGCAACTATTCCAATGTTTCCCTATAGTACAATGAAGCAGAATTGTCAAAGGCAGGGCCCATCTGTAGTATAACTGGTATCACTATACCCAAAAATCAATAGCAAGCTGTCGAGAGATTCCACATCCCTCACATTCCTGGCATACAAATGTACCAGAACAGCATGTGCCAGGAATGTCAAAGTAAACCTGTGCTACTGACACAATGCTCAAGGGTTCTGTATTTACAAATACTGCTTGAATAGTAAATATATCGTTTACACATACTATATATGAGTGTGAATTTCTCCCCTCATATGTTACAAGCATTTTTTACACAACAGTTGTTGGCAACATTGTAAATAACTTTTAATTCACATGCAATCATTAATGTATATCACATAAATTTTGTGCTTAGACTTTAAGTACTGGCACAATAGACACATCCTGGCAATTAAGTAGTTTTTTTTATCTATATTCTATATAGCTAGGTCTACATTACAATTTTTTTTTATTAAATGAGGAAAAGATTAAATTAGTTGTCCTTTTGAAAGAGAATCCTTTTTCCAGTGCTGCAAACCTATCATCTATACACATGTACACCTTCATTTCACATTAAACAAGGTAGTAAGTTTCATAGAATGATTCTATTTAAGTATCAAATGTATGAATCAGATTTGACATGGTATCAAGTTTCATAGAATGAATCTAGATTTAAGTATCAAATGTATGAATATATATATATCATCAATAAATTTACCTTTAAATTTCATTGCTACTTGTATGTGCAACAATATCACAACTTGAGCATGAGAGATTGACCCGAAACTTTAATTGGAAGGTGAAAATTTGTTCACCTGACAAACATAATCCAAATTCCACAGAATCCTAAAAGTATGTGACACAAAGTAATTATTTTTTAACATGTTACCTCGAATAAATGACCTGAGGGTATACAAGTTCAGTGATTGTGTTGTACAGATTTACTACAATATATCCTCATGTCATTTCAGTGACACACAAAGGGCCAGCACAGGAACCATAGCACCCTAAAAGGTCACCACACTGTTCTAGTACAACATATACATGTATATGAGGTCATCGGGTACAGTAAACAACAGGTGATTACAATCTATAGGTGACAAATGCCTTCTAGAGGTGTTATCTGTACAAGTATAATGGTAAGTGAAATTTAACATTATGCTAGTCTAAAATCAAATACAATTTTGTGTTACTCTTATCAGACTTTAAAGCAATGATCATATATATACATGTACATATCCTGTCATTACTCTCACCATCAATCACTAACATCAAAAAAACACTAACAGCCTTCAAAAAACTATTTGTCACTGTCCTCAAACATTTTTTAAGACAATATTTACACAAAAACATAATTTCATGAACAGAAAACATGTTGCTGTTTAAAACAATCTCAATATTTTTTTGATCTTAGGCCCATCAAAATATCTGTTTAAAGCTGCATCTGTGTATAGATATGTATTTTCACTTTTTCAATAATTTTTTACCAAGTGCCAGCTACATGTAGAGCAATATTTCTGAATTTAACTGGGAATAAAATATCTTGGGTTGGCAGTTAAAATTAGGACAGATAGCTTCATGCATAGGTTAACCTTTAACAGACATGTACATATCCAACTGGAACAGTTTACATTCTGGCAGCATCTGTTACAATTCATTCCTACAGTATGCAGATTTGTGTCATTTTGTCGCTTCGTCTTTTCAGAGCAAAAAGATAAGAATAAACAAACCATAATTTTCATCCTTTTATCTTTTTGTCCTAGAAAGTCAAAACAAAAAAAAATAAAAAGTATTAAATCTCTTCTATTCAGGGCAAAAAGATGAAACTATGAAATAGCAAAGCCAGCCGTACATTCTTGCAACACTGATGTTATACTAATCCTTAAGCTTTCATTTTCAACAGTCCTATCAGGGCTGATATAATTCACTATAAACAAAATAAAATCTTCCATAGCTTATCCTTTTCTTGTACTTCACCCGCATGCAAAGTGACTGAACAAAATTGTAAAACGCACAAATTATACAATTTAATAAAACCTTATAAAACCATGTTAATATTAATTAGTAAGAAATAGTATACAGGTACATATATATAGCAAACATAAAAAGTCATCATCAGTGAAACATTTATGCACAACATTTTGATGAATCCCTCAAGTACTTGGTGAACTTGATCATCACAAAAATGAACAGTAAAACATCATGTATTTATTAAGGTGATAAAAATGAACCGGATCACAAATCAAATTAACATGTCAAATTTTCTACACTCATGATCAGGTGTTAACAAATAATATAAGAGGTGAAAATCAATCAGCAGACAATCAGGCTTTGTTATGGTACACATGACAAGTGTGAAAGTTTAACTTCAATGTATTTAGCCAAATAGAACATCAATGGTCAACACAACTTTTAAACGTATTGCTATAAAAGGTTTCAGGCATGGAGGATTTTTATTTAGCTAGGTAAATGAATAAGTAAAACAATAAATTTATTTGGTCTTGTACATTTCTAAAATTTGAATAGAAACAGCCAACATTTTCCCCTTGCTTTAATAACAAGATACAGTTGATGAGATGGGAGGGAGGTGTTTATAGTTTGAACACTATGTATAATGGTGAAAATTATCAGCCATTTTTTATACACTTACCAAAGTATTCCCCTTGCGGGGATTTCTCCATCTCATCTTCTAACTGCTGTGTCAGTGCTGCAACCTTTTTCTCTGCCTCGGTCAGTCCCCGTTGTGACTGGGGTACTTGGTACTGCAGCTGGGCCTGCGGCTTGATGGCAGCAGAGGGTGGCGTCCGCACCATGTGGGCCGGGGATGTGGGTAGGGACCCCAGGTTTGATGGTTGACTAAAAACTTGAGGCTGGGGCGAGGGTTTGGGACTAGCATAACGGGGATTTCTTGGGGGTAGCACAGGCAGTTCAGTATTGTGGGGACCATGATAGGGCGGGGGAGGCTCCTTCGGAATTGAAGACTGAGAATCCAAAGAGTTTTTTCTGGAGGCCGACACACGTATATTTTCTTCTAACTGTTGAGTGAGAGCTGTTAAAGTTTTCTCAAAGTCTATATGTTTGGGTTGTGTCTGTTGGTTAATAGGCTTTCTGGCAGGTAAAGCTGGAGGGACTGAGTGTGACGGTGAGCTTTTATCAGAGCTCACAACCCGATTCATTTGATTATTAAGTAGATTAGTATTAGTCACATTGTTATTGCTGTTGACATTGTTTGTTTGAGAGTGTGAAATGTTAATACTACTATTGTTATGTGAAGGCAACGATCTCGGGCGAAGATCAGTATAGATAAAAGCAGGGGGAGCCCCTTCATTAAACCGACTGTCATTCAGAAGCTGGATATTACTTCGCGGCATTGACATTGGATGCATTCCCATCTGTAGATTTTGTAGACTCTCTTGTGATATTGCTAAACTAGTCCTCGGACTTGGAAATTTATCATACAGCACTCCAGACATTCCTGCAAGGCTAGTACGAGGACTTGAAGGTTTGGACTCGTATGAAGTTGTACTTAAACTTGACCTTGGACTGGCTAGACTTGACCGTGGACTGCCCCCCATGAACCGTTGATCATAGGGGGGAGGGGGCGGGGGATTGATAAGACTAGTTCTTGGACTTGAATTTTTTGAATCACCACCACTACCCATACTTGACCTAGGACTGGAATAATTAGATCCCTGCTGTCTCAATATATAGTGGCTAGATCCAGAAAAATGTTGCATTGCGTTTTGGAGAAGCTGTTCCTTGGAAGGTGCAGGGTATGACGTACCCCCGATCACAATACTCCGCTCGGTTTCCACAACCCCGTTTCCTATAACGGTAGTGGGTAACTGACTTTGAGGATTCACTTTCATTCCGCCGTTATGTATTGACCCTCCAAATGGAATTTCGAACGGCTTAGGTAATTTTTGTGTATTTTCTAATCCCTGAAAGCCCTGACTCTGAAATCCAGATCGAATGACAGTCTTGTTTTCCGACAACTGAAACTGGCCCTGGTTGTTTATAACCTGCCTGCGATCCATACAAACACTTTGTTTAGTTTTGAGATCGTCAGCGACGGCAGACGAAGCCCGGTTCGAGATCACCCCTCTCAAGTACGTTAATTCCTCGTTTGACACGGTAACACCATTTTCAAGCTGATGAGAAAAGTTCTCCATTTCACCATAAATCCATACATTGGTATACTTTCATGTAGATCCAATCGAATCACAAAAGAACTCAATAACACTATCTCCCAACCATAACACAGGTTCTCTCACGGTACAATGGCGGTTTTAGCGTATTTATTTTTACGCTAATACACACGAGAAAGTAGTACATTCAGGATAATTTTATCATTAAACATCAGAGTTAGAAGATATTATATGTTATATTAAAAAATACCGAATTGAAAAGAATACTTTAACATTATCAAACGGGAATGAACTATACACTTACTTCAAAGAAAACGACGCTGTAAGTAAAAACATGCAGAACTATTTTTATTCAAGGTGCGCTATTAGCCGGAAGTTCGAGTGATGATTAACATAGGCATGAAAACAAATTACGAAAAGCACGTTATTCGGAATGTTGATAGTATTTGCAGCTATCCAGCTTTAGTACCATAACAACATTGTAAAATACTTCTATACCACAACAATGGTTGATGTCGGAGATCTACGTAATATTCGTTTTTAAAGCCTATTCTAAGTAAACGAAAACTAATTAGTAGCGCGGGGGAGTAGCGCGTGCTTGGTAATTGAATATTTAATTGTTGACACGTGCTCCGAGTATTTTGACATGGAAAGTGGTATTTTTTAAGTTGATATTAAAAGTGGTTTAGAAAGCATATCAGCACAGAATTAGATTCTGTGATATCATTGACGAAAACGTTCATTCCCAAATGAGGAAATGAAGCCTTCAAAATGACGAGAATTTTGAAACTTAAAAATACATTATTTGAATCTCGAAGATCTACCACGGACTTAGATTTCCGTGGATCTACAAAGCGTAGAACACGAGACTTGTAATGTTGGTATTTAAATAAAATGAGTAAAAAAAAAACATTCATTGCAGAACTTTCAACTTGTTTTGGTAAATTGTATTATATATCCTCATAAAATTCTTGACGTGGTTACCTACAATTATATTTTTTTTCACTGGACGGAAACGTAAGTCCACACGAGTAGTCTCCCTTGTTAAATACTCGTGAGTAGCAACGGACAGACTGAAGCCTACCAGTTTCAATTACAAATAAAACGTATACATCCAATTTATTTTTATTATCATTTGTGTTATTTATATGAATGTGTACCAGAAGTATAACTGTTGGTTTCATGTATGATTTAAATTACCCATAAGGAAAGCTAGCCTAAGATAAACCCATCTGCTGTGCATGTAGCGGTTTTAAATTTTACAATACATTTCACACCTATGGATGCTAATGCTGTGTACACATACGGAATTAGATAAGTCCGTGGTACACATACACGTTTGAATGTCCATTACAAGAGATACGATTTCTAGTGTGTTTTTAATGTTTGCTGAGCTAGAGACGTATATATATCTCTTTGACTCGGCATCTCGTCTTTACGCAGATGACACTTCACTTCTTCCGGTCTTGAAATTCAAATTATCCTACATGTAAATAAGGACCTTGAATCTTTAAACTCGTGGGTTAAAACTTAGCTGGTAATGTTTAATCCGGACAAAACTGACGTACTTTTTATCTCCAATAGAAATGACATAGATGAATTTTTAGAATTGGAATTTGACGGAAACGTTTTAGACTTTACAGATAGACATAAGCATTTAGGTGTTACTTTCAGCCCGAGTGTCAAATGGGAGGGATCATGACGAAGCAATGTATTCCTCAGTTATGGAGAGAAAAAAATATCTGAAGAAAATTAAAATTTCTATTTAAACGAGATGCCATATAAGAATTTACCGAGCCTTTATTTTACCTATTTTAAAATGCTCTAGTTTCGATTCAGAAAAAGCCCAACGTGAAGCCGCTCGAATATAGCAAGTCTCCCATCATATGCTAGTGTATGTTCTTTAAATTATGAAACAGATTTAGTAACATTGTCTGCTAGAAGAAAAAGAAGAAACTTTCAACTCTTGTTTAAAATGCATACTAATCAAACACCAGACTATTTTTCTTCCCTGCTTTCCTCCACTGTACAATATCTATAGTTCACTATCCTTTGAAAAACAGAAATGATTATATAATCCAGTATTTCTGATTATCAACAACAAAATTCTTTTGAAAGGTTAAATCTATGATATTCTATTATTAATAATTATATGAATTATTATTTTCTGTGAACATGTATTAAATGGTTCTAATATTCTCCTATTAATTTGAACATACTCTCTCTCTATATATATAAGGATGTACGAAATGTGTGTATTTTCTTTTGTAAAGGGCTTTAATAGGCAATGCCTGTGCCTAATCCAATTGTATCTTAAATGCAATACAATTGATTTGAAATGAAAAAAAACTTCTTTACCGACAACGCTTCGCTGTTGAAATACCCTCGATAAGGTCATCAGCTTCATTGAATATCTTTTAAAAAAATCACTGAAACCCGACGATCAATTTTTTCCTCCTTCTTACTTTGGTTATGGGGACCTTAGATTAAAAAGTATTCACACGAAACTTAGACACAGGTACAGTTCTCTAAGTCATGACTTATTCCTAGTGAACCTTGTGGGAACCCCTAGCTGTACTTGTGGACATATTTGTGAAAATGTTTAATCTCTTTTTCTGTCAATGTCGCCGTTATAGTAATGAAAGAAACACACTTTTTCAGCAGGTAAACGATTTGAATTAAGAGCAAACGATTTAAATTTAGAGGCACCATGCGATTTAGATTTGCTTTTATTTGGTAACGAAGACTAGTGGCTCGACACAAATTCGGAAGTTTGTTTATATGTTCAAAATTTCATGAAATCTAGCAACAGATTTAAAAAAAAAATTGCTCGATGCTATTAATTCAAATGTTTCAATTTCATTATCCGATGTACCTGTAATAGTGTGCTATATATGAATGAAATTACTTATTCAACCGCCAAGATAACATTGTTGGCCCAGCTGGTATTACTAAGACGAAAGACTACGAAAAAGAAGAGGATCTGCGTGGTTGCGAAAGAGGAAAGTGTTTAAAGATTGAGATGAACAATTTGTAGTGAGTAATGAATGTGTTTATAGGCCAACTGGGTTTGTGTTATAAGTTTGTTATATAACATTGTTACAAGTTTGTTAACTTAATTTAGTTTTAAAACTCTCTCTCTCAAATATGCTTTTTGTGAAAATTAATTTAAGAATTATTAGAAATTGCATTATATTTATAGTTTGTAAAATATTATGGAAGGGCGTTTATAAGTTGCAATAACTTGTGCCTAATCCTTTTGTAATTGTGTTGCAATAAAACATGTTTAAACTTAAACTAATATTACATACTAATATTACATATAATACGTCTCTGACTGAGATTTGCGGTTGAGATTGGCTGAAAGTAAACATAGAATAAGATAGTAATGGTGGGAAAGGACAACGGACCATAATGACACTATATAAGCATATAGGGATGGGGGTTAGTCCTCAGGGATGGGGGTTAGTCCTCTCATGTGAGGGCAGCGCGGACTACACGAAGGACGTCGTTCCGTGGAACGCTGCCGCTGCGACACACTGTCCGCATCTCAGGAGCTGTCCGACCTTGGAGCGAGACCTGGATGGACCTAGGACATTTCGAATCTCCGAGGGCCTGGTAAGCGACAACTTACCCCCTCACGTCGACCGGACACCGACTTCGTCAGTGAGTGTAGACGATAAACCGATCAGTCTATGCCTTGTTGCCTATGCTCCAATGACTCATGATATAATGTAATGAATCAAAAAATGAAGTTATATTTATATTGGAAATTACCATCTACCATCCTAGGCAAGATAACAGGGTGTATGGGACGCCGCTTGACTTTAAATTCCATTTTAAACTATATTATTTTAACGGATTGGTGATATCACTTAATTACACTGAAAATAAGTTAATTATAGTGCTAAGGTCTGTTCTTTGAAGTAACAAAGTCGCAAATGACCGTAGCTTTCCGACTTTACATCACTGATGTAGCTTAATCATATATTGGTTTCTTTCTGCGTTTCACACAACAGGCCAAAATAACAACGCATTGATTTTTTAATAATTTAACAATATGAAGCAACAACAACGAATACATTAAACTCAATAAAATATAACAATTCTCCACACACACAAAATCAACATACATGTGGCTTCACTACGTACTACATGTCAAGTTACCAGCCATGATGTTTCATCAGTGTAAATAAACTAATATGGTTAAATAAAACAGTAAATATAATAATTTATAAAAAAAATACGTGTGCGCAACATTAAGGCGACACTAATCTATATATACAAGATGATATTAAGTAGCAAATGCTTTGCTAAATTGCATAATGCTGTTAAACTTAACAATACGAATACTGTCACTTTTACAAATACGTTTTAAAACACTAGCAACTATCGATCTCTCACTACACTTCCTCAACTGTTGGACCTGTACCTGACCCTCCTTGTGTCTCCTGGCCACAGTTCCCGTTGGAGGCCCCACTAGTATTACCCTGTGGGGAACCCCCGTGGAGTTTGGTCATTATAGGTGAACACAGTTTTTGGAATTCCTGTAGTTTATATTCGTATTCCTCCACATCGGCCGTGGTGTTACTGTCCAGCCACTTCAGGTTGTCCTCACATCCCTGACACACAGTTGATTTGTCCTCCGTCGAGAGTTTGTCACCAGAATTTTCTATCGCCTGTTTGACACTGAAAATGTAGTTTTCAAGCTGGTTCCTGGCAGAAACTCTTTTTCTTTGTTTCTCATCCTCGTCTTTGTATTTTTCCGCGTCGGACACCATTTTATCAATGTCCTCTTTACTCAGACGTCCCTTATCGTTTGTAATTGTGATTTTGTTGGATTTCCCCGTACTCTTGTCCTCCGCCGAAACGTTGAGAATTCCATTAGCATCAATGTCAAATTGCACTTCGATCTGTGGAACACCCCGAGGTGCAGGAGGGATGCCGTTGAGTTCGAAGCGTCCCAGTTGGTTGTTGTCCTTTGTCATAACTCGTTCTCCCTCGAATACTTGGATACCGACACCAGGCTGGTTATCAGAATACGTAGTAAATGTCTGTGATGTTTTTGTGGGGATTCTAGTATTCCTTTCGATCAGTTTGGTCATCACACCTCCGGCCGTTTCTATTCCGAGAGATAAGGGAGCCACGTCCACGAGAAGAACATCCTTGATGACGTCACTACTGTCGCCTGTAAGCACGGCGGCCTGAACTGCGGCACCGTACGCTACAGCTTCATCAGGGTTGATGGACTTGTTCAGCGGTCTTCCGTTCATGAAATCTTCGAGCATCTTTTGTACCTTTGGTATACGTGTAGATCCGCCAACCAGCACGATTTCGTGGATTTTCGATTTGTCCATCTTTGCATCACGAAGTGCCTTTTCCACGGGCTCTAATGTTGAACGGAATAGGTCGGCACACAAGTCCTCAAATCTGGCTCTCGTGAGCTTACTGTAAAAGTCAATGCCCTCAAACAGGGAATCAATTTCAAGGCTTGCTTCACTGCTGCTCGAAAGGGTTCGTTTTGCACGTTCACATGCGGTGCGAAGTCTTCTCAAAGCCCTGCTGTTCTTACTCAAGTCTTTACCATATTTCCGTTTGAACTCCTGTACAAAATGATTGACTATTCTGTTGTCGAAATCTTCCCCACCTAAGTGTGTATCACCAGCTGTAGCTCTCACCTCGAATATTGAACCCTCGTCGATAGTCAGAATGGACACATCAAATGTTCCTCCACCAAGATCAAAGATTAGAACGTTTTTCTCTCCTTTCAAGTTCTTTTCCAGTCCATAAGCCAGCGCAGCAGCCGTCGGTTCATTGACGATTCTGAGGACGTTAAGTCCGGCGATCATCCCAGCATCCTTTGTTGCCTGTCTTTGGGAGTCATTGAAATAGGCTGGCACTGTGATCACAGCATCCTTGACCTTTTGACCCAAGAAAGCCTCAGCCGTCTCCTTCATTTTAGTAAGAACCATGGAACTGATTTCCTCTGGTGTGAACTGTTTTGTGGTTCCATTACAGTCTACCTGAATCTTTGGTTTACCTGTGTTGTTGACGACCCTAAACGGCCAATGCTTCACGTCCGACTGGACATGAGGGTCATCGTATTTCCGTCCGATCAACCGTTTTGCATCGAAAATGGTATTCTGTGGGTTCATTGCCACTTGACCCTTGGCAGCGTCCCCGATTAATCTCTCTGAGTCTGTGAAGGCCACATAACTAGGCGTGGTCCTGTTTCCCTGGTCGTTGGCAATAATCTCCACCTTCCCATGTTGGAAAACTCCGACACAGGAATACGTCGTACCAAGGTCTATACCAATAGCTGGAGCTTTACGTGAGCTTGACATGTCTTATGATTGTGAAACTGTCAAAGCGAAAGTAGATATAGCACTAGTTCGTTTATACTAGTCCGCCCGCTTTGTGCTGGATATATGTACACAGGTGTATACAGATACGTCCCTTCTGTTACTTCCACGTAGGATTGTCTGACAACTTTTCGGATTCTGACCACAACTTGTGTGCGCCATGGTTATATACAACTTTTCGATAATTTCCTGAATTATCTAGAAAATCTAGAACTTTCTGGTGATTGGATCAATCTAGAAACATCCCGAATGAATTTAGGTCAGCGCTAATATGGGGCTCATCAAGGGGACATGCTATGGAAAATTCTGATAAAGTGATATAAATCATTTGACTACTAAAATCTACATTTATGTCTATGTATAAGTTATTCCAGGGTTACTGTGAGAAAATCACAGTGTTAACTTCGTTACTGTTTACATGATGTATAATATAGTTCCGATGAATTAATTAGCAAAATCAATCCGATAAAAATGTGTGATTTCATGTTATCACATCATATAATATCAAAACATATGTATCGGCTACACATGTAATAACTATGTAACTATAGTGATGTTGATGTAATTGTCACGTTAGTACTTGTTAATTCACAGGTAATATCGTCATCGGTATATCTACTATTTTTAACATTTTAACATCATTTTGAAATGGGACTTTAAAATTCCAGTTGATAAGATACCATATCAAATACATGTAGTTTAACACTCGACTCCGGTTTTTCATTTTTTTGCAATAAAGATGCCCAACTATTTAGCATTGTCGGTATATTTTCAATTCCCAATTCAACATGACATATTATAATTATGGTTATTTATTAATCCTAAGAAACAGATTAGTACGTCATTTGTTATACTGCAATAGTATATATTAATCCAGCTTGACTAAAATTAATACGATGTATCATTTGTTTACTTATATCACGGACTAAGATAGCAATCTAATCCCCTGCTTATACATATACCGTAGGTTTAGGTATCGCACTGTTGTTATATTTTAAACATTTATTTGTAATGTCTTGACCTCTGGTTTTATATCTACTACATCTGATACTCTACATTAACTAACAATTTACTTACAAATGTTACAATGACGCTTTTTTAACTTGATAATATGTTATATTACACAATAGTAGTGTTTTCTGTGTAGTAATTAAAGATAAAGATTCATACTACTGTTACAGTGTTATTAGAACTAATAAGTACTATCAGGGTATAATCATACACTGTATTAACATAAAAAAGTATAGATAAGAAACCAACGGTCAGGAAATGACAAAAGAATCTCCAAACTATAATATATGACGGGAAAATACTGTAAAACAACATAAATTGTAGACAAGACATTACACGATACATGGTTTTAGTTTTGCTGTAGTCAGTATTTATTTACTTACTTATAAGTTAGTTGATTGCTTACAAGTTAGTTACTAGATTTTATTGACTTATAAGTTACGTTAAATGAAACAGTAATGTTGGTGTTTCAATAATAAGATCAGTATACAAATCATCTTTATAATATCAAACTTCATGTACGTGAACACCGGACCCGAGTGCTTGATGAAGACACTTATATTATCTACTGTAGTTAACTTATCACATGAGTTTTAATATATATTAAATCCCAATCAAAATGATGTTTGAATGATGTTTTATAATTGTCTTAATAATAAAAAACCCAATATATTTTGTATACCGATGACGATAAAACTTAACAATTAATTAGTACAAACTAAAACAAATATTAATATAACATTTTTGTATTGTTATTTTATGAACAACAAAACTTTCATCTTAATAACTATAAAAAAACAAACAGGGAAAATATTATAATTATATTAACAACATTTTAATAACACCTTATTTTTTTTTAATTCATCAGAACTATGACATTCATCATGTCAGCAGTAATGCCGTTATGGCACTTATATTTTCTCACAATAACGCGCCTGGTAAAACATGTGCGTAAACATAAATGTAGATTTTTGTAGTCAAATGCTTTATATCACAATATCAGAATTTGCCATAGCATGTCCCCTTGATGAGCCCCAGATGACCGCTGACCTATATTCATTCGGGATGTTTCTAGATTGATCCAATCACCAGAAAGTTCTAGATTTTCTAGATAATTCAGGAAATGATCGAAAAGTTGTATATAACCATGGCGCACACAAGTTGTGGTCAGAATCCGAAAAGTTGTCAGACACCTACGTGGAAGTAACAGAAGGGACGTATCTGTATACACCTGTGTACATATATCCAGCACAAAGCGGGCGGACTAGTATAAACGAACTAGTGCTATATCTACTTTCGCTTTGACAGTTTCACAATCATAAGACATGTCAAGCTCACGTAAAGCTCCAGCTATTGGTATAGACCTTGGTACGACGTATTCCTGTGTCGGAGTATTCCAACATGGGAAGGTGGAGATTATTGCCAACGACCAGGGAAACAGGACCACGCCTAGTTATGTGGCCTTCACAGACTCAGAGAGATTAATCGGGGACGCTGCCAAGGGTCAAGTGGCCATGAACCCACAGAATACCATTTTCGATGCAAAACGGTTGATCGGACGGAAATACGATGACCCTCATGTCCAGTCGGACGTGAAGCATTGGCCATTTAGGGTCGTCAACAACGCGGGTAAACCAAATATTCAGGTAGACTACAATGGAACCACAAAACAGTTCACACCAGAGGAGATCAGTTCCATGGTTCTTACTAAAATGAAGGAGACGGCTGAGGCTTTCTTGGGTCAAAAGGTCAAGGATGCTGTGATCACAGTGCCAGCCTATTTCAATGACTCCCAAAGACAGGCAACAAAGGATGCTGGGATGATCGCCGGACTTAACGTCCTCAGAATCGTCAATGAACCGACGGCTGCTGCGCTGGCTTATGGACTGGAAAAGAACTTGAAAGGAGAGAAAAACGTTCTAATCTTTGATCTTGGTGGAGGAACATTTGATGTGTCCATTCTGACTATCGACGAGGGTTCAATATTCGAGGTGAGAGCTACAGCTGGTGACACACACTTAGGTGGGGAGGATTTCGACAACAGAATAGTCAATCATTTTGTACAGGAGTTTAAACGGAAATATGGTAAAGACTTGAGTAAGAACAGCAGGGCTTTGAGAAGACTTCGCACCGAATGTGAACGTGCAAAACGAGCCCTTTCGAGCAGCAGTGAAGCAAGCCTTGAAATTGATTCCCTGTTTGAGGGCATTGACTTTTACAGTAAGCTCACGAGAGCCAGATTTGAGGACTTGTGTGCCGACCTATTCCGTTCTACATTAGAGCCCGTGGAAAAGGCACTTCGTGATGCAAAGATGGACAAATCGAAAATCCACGAAATCGTGCTGGTTGGCGGATCTACACGTATACCAAAGGTACAAAAGATGCTCGAAGATTTCATGAACGGAAAACCGCTGAACAAGTCCATCAACCCTGATGAAGCTGTAGCGTACGGTGCCGCAGTTCAGGCCGCCGTGCTTACAGGGGACAGTAGTAACGTCATCAAGGATGTTCTTCTCGTGGACGTGGCTCCCTTATCTCTCGGAATAGAAACGGCCGGAGGTGTGATGACCAAACTGATCGAAAGGAATACTAGAATCCCCACAAAAACATCACAGACATTTACTACGTATTCTGATAACCAGCCTGGTGTCGGTATCCAAGTATTCGAGGGAGAACGAGTTATGACAAAGGACAACAACCAACTGGGACGCTTCGAACTCAACGGCATCCCTCCTGCACCTCGGGGTGTTCCGCAGATCGAAGTGCAATTTGACATTGATGCTAATGGAATTCTCAACGTTTCGGCGGAGGACAAGAGTACAGGGAAATCCAACAAAATCACAATTACAAACGATAAGGGACGTCTGAGTAAAGAGGACATTGATAAAATGGTGTCCGACGCGGAAAAATACAAAGACGAGGATGAGAAACAGAGAAAAAGAGTTTCTGCCAGGAACCAGCTTGAAAACTACATTTTCAGTGTCAAACAGGCGATAGAAAATTCTGGTGACAAACTCTCGTCGGAGGACAAATCAACTGTGTGTCAGGAATGTGAGGACAACCTGAAGTGGCTGGACAGTAACACCACGGCTGATGTGGAGGAATACGAATATAAACTACAGGAATTCCAGAAACTGTGTTCACCTATAATGACCAAACTCCACGGGGGTTCCCCACAGGGTAATACTAGTGGGGCCTCCTACGGGAACTGTGGTCAGGAGACACGGGGAGGGCCAGGTACAGGTCCAACAGTTGAGGAAGTGTACTGAGAGATCGATATGCTAGTGTTTTAAAACTCATTTGTAAAAGCACGGACTTAGATAGCTAATTCTTTGGTAAAAGTGACAGTATTCGTATTGTTAAGTTTAATAGTATGATGCAATTTAGCAAAACATTTGCTATTTAATATCATCTTGTATATAGATTAGTGGCGCCTTAATGTTGCGCAAACGTATTTTTTATAAATTATTATATTTACTGTTTTATTTAACCATATTAGTTTATTTACACTGATGGAACATCATGGCTGGTAACTTGACATGTAGTACGTAGTGAAGCCACATGTATGTTGATTTTGTGTGTGTGGAGAATTGTTATATTTTATTGAGTTTAATGTATTTGTTGTTGTTGCTTCATATTGTTTTTAATAAATTATTAAAAAATCTATGCGTTGTTATTTTGGTTCTGTTGAGTGGAGCGCAGAAAGAAACCAATATATGATTAAGCTACATCAGTGATGTTAAGTCGGAAAGCTACGGTCATTTGCGGCTTTTAGCGGATTTTTTTCTATCGCACTCTTAAATTTGATTGATATAAATTATTTGCAAAAGTTTTCGAGGTTTTATTCTTCAACTTGCCACACCCATTAGTGTGTAATAGGAGGCTATGCCATCAACATGACCTCAGTGCCTATGTCGAGTTTAACTTTGGTGAACGCTTGACATTAAGGCCAAACGTGGGGTATTGCCAAGCAAGGCATAAGGAAACCAAAAGGTTTTCAGGAAGTAAAGAGAAAACATATCAAGATCCCAAATGTTGTAATGGTAGAAGCAGCTCAATTGTGGTTTCTCCATTGTTCCCTTAGAAAAAAACCGATTCTGCATTGGGCCTCATTTTAGTTGCCTTTTATGACACGCATTAGGATACATCAGGTGTGTTCTTTCCCCGGACATTGCCTTGGAGTTTCTCTCATAATTTAAACGTTTTTCCATACATTTTGAAGTCGTAATATTCTTTTCTATCATACTTAAAACCAGATATGCAAGGGTAAAACATATTTGACTTGAATAAATTGTAATAACTACACGAGTTATCTCCCTATACTTCATGTGTTTAACATGTATGACATCGATTGCAATTCATCTTCACTCGCTTCGAAAAACAAACAATACACAGATGGCAGACGTTTTGTCCTCTCATAGCGCGTGCATGCTGTCATGATTAGTGATAAATATGACGTCATATATCATTACAACAAACACTCTTTCATGTATAACATCGATGTAAAAATAGCTAGTAAAATAATAATAAATATATAAAATTAATTAAAAATAAAAATGAGTATGGGAAAAAACATGGAATTAATTTTATAAGTATTTTCTTCAGAACTACATACTTTTCAAAAAGAAACTTACCTTTGCTCCAACCATTACTGTTTTCCTAATCATTACACAGGTTTTCAGTTGCTGTTACACAAGAACCTAGACGCTATTCTTTTATTTAACTTTTTTCGCTCTCTCATATATCCGACATAGATTTAAGGTTAGTTGGTCGTTCCTTCTAATTATTTAATTATTTGAACGTGCTACTGTTTGTCAGTGAAGTATATACGTAAGCTACGGGTAATGTACAGCCTGCCAGACAAGCTCACTACCTGTACTTCCAGGTGTATTATCTAGTTATATGTTCAGGAAATCGATTTAGATTGGAACGCTCGTAGTATGTAAATTACCTTTATTTATAACACTCACTACATACAAAGTGTCATTTGCCTAAGCAAATAAAGAGCGCTAACGGGAGAGAGTGAATGGCATACCCTTATAATAAATGCATGGTTTATTGGAAACACAATACGGCAGAGTCCATGTTAGTAAGATAGCGTCCGGTAACCAAGGAACGAGCCAGCCAACCGTGAATCTTAAGTACGAACGGAAGTAACCACACCAGATTTGTATTTCTAAAAACATCTCGGGAGTTCGGGCAGATACAGTGATCGTTCGTGGACGTCAAAGATACCAATATGGCTGACAAGATTGGGAAAGCAGCGGCTGGATGTAACTTCGTGGCCCAGGACCAGATCTGGTATGTACTCGGACATTGATAGTGAGAAGAAATACATATAATTATCGTGTTCTTGCATACGGTGACAAGGCATATACACAGTATTGGTGTACTTATATACACACCTCTACTTATAGGTGTGTTTACCTATACACACTAATCTACCTATCTCAACTCAAACCACATTTGCTAATATAAGACTAAGCGTTTAATCTTATCGTTACCATTTACAGGTTCCGTGAACATGCATAATGTACATTATTTAAATAACGAAGATAGCAAACGTATCTAACGTTAACTCACAAGGGATCAAATACGTTACAGTTTACCTTTAAATGTGTCAGTCAATGCTACATCGTAATTAACAGATTTCTTTTAAACATACATTGACTATGAGTAGGCACACTTTTTTTTACAATTAAACGTCGGCTATATGACTTGACAGGCTATCTTGAGTTCAATATTGACAACTCGAATGAGAATTTTTGTCGTACATTTTACTAGGAGTGTAAATACATTCCAAGATGTCGCACTGTCTACACCTATCTTACACCATAGTGATTCCACATCAAGTGCACAATACAAACACATCGCTGAATAAGCTGAGGATTACGTTATCAATATGTCACACTTAATAAACCATAAAACTAGGGTCCCACCCGGACAGAGACATAACCTTAAAAGAAAGAAATAATATATTGAACGGGGAATATTCTTAAATCGGCTTATACTGGGTTATTTAAAATTGACTTCCAAAGATTTATACACGTACGCATCACGTTGTAAGATTAGGAGGTAGAATAAGTGTCTCGAGAATTATAATTCTTACATATGAATGTTCCTTAAAAAAGCTGTCAAATTAAATTAACATTGGTTGACGATAATTAAGGAGATGCAATAAGGCGTATACTAGCGGCCATAGTTCTATAGGTATTTCATTGTGGGTTTCTCAATACGTGCCGTTACTGAATTTAAATTAATTTCACAGTCTGCCTAACCTCATACTTCTACTGGTATATATACACAATCACGGTATTAACTATGAACAGACATAGGTATTGTACTACAATACATTATACGACAACCAACCAATATATAATTAAGTATACCAACTAGCCATGGCGTATACGTAGTTTCTCATTGAAAAGGGTTCCCGCCTATACCGTTCGGAAGTATTTTACTATTATTAAATTGGAAAAACGCATGATAATTTTGCCAGTGTAATAGAAGTGATTATAACTTTCCATAAACTAATGTACCCGAATCATGTTTGCAATTGTTCGTGATCCGCCATGAAGTAAATTATTTCAGTTAAGCAACTATCATATGTTTTGCAGTTTCTAGTAACTATAATTTAGCATGCATTTATTGACATGCTTATTCATTGTACACTTCGAGGCTAAATTAACCCCTATTTCCCGCATTGTAAAGTAGACATGTCCTGCATATCCACACATATAAACCCCTTTACATTGACTTAGCCTTTGCGGCTTATTAAACGCTAAAAGATGGTCACTCGGTTAAAGTTATTACAATAACGATATTCAGCGTTTACCCATTGGTACTTGAATTGATTCGTCCACCTATAACAAACCGGACATCAACAAGGCTACAAGATGTATCCTAAAGGTTTTCATCTACCCTCAGTTTTGTCCAAGTGAAAAAATAGGAATTCAAGGCTGTTTCCAGGGCCCGTATTCGTGAAACTGTTCCCATGCTCAAGCATGGATTCTGTGCTCAAACCTACTTTCTTGTAACTCGCTTAAATAATCTCAAACGATCAAAAAGTCAAATGTGAAAATTGAAAACAGTATTTGGCTTTGAGTCTTAAAACAGTATTTGGCTTTGAGTCTTTTCAATTTTTTTCTAAATCATTGTCAAAATAAGAGTTGTTTATTAATTTATAACTAAAACAAGAAATTAGGTTTGAGCATAAAATCCATGCTTTAGCATGAGATCGCTTTCATGAATTAGGGCCCTGGTGTCATGATCAATTCCAAAATAATTGAAAAGATAAAAATAACCCCATCTATACACAACCTTGCCTTCTCTCTACCCCTCTAGACACAACCTTGCCTTCTCTCTACCCCTCTAGACACAACCTTGCCTTCTCTCTACCCCTCTAGACACAACCTTGCCTTCTCTCTACCCCTTAAACTTAACTGAACAATGATCATTGTGTCAAAGAGGAAAAGTACACTGTCGTGATAATTGGAGCACTGAATTAAGGTATTTAGACTTTTACATCATATGACTGTCGGAGGAAAAACTCTTTTAGCGGAAACACTGTTTAAATGCAAAACATCTTGCAAACTTTCGAAACGCGCTAAATGACATAACCTCTTCACCAGGAGTTCGAAAATTTCGAAATGTTCTTCATGAATAGACATCACATAAGAGGTTCCATAAAGCAGTTGTCGGTCTAGCCTTATCGCGAATTCTTAATTAAGTCGTTTGTCTCCATTGTACGTGATACATGCTATAGTCGTATAGACAATCAAACAACTCCAGGTCATTGTGAATAACAATGCACTGTTCGTTATAAGAAGGTTACAAGGTTCATGACAAAACATGTATATTATATGTACAAAGTATATACATGTTGATTCTAATTCTCGGACATTACGTAGCCTTTATAGCATTAAGATCTCTCGTAGCTTTGTATAGAGAAGCCTCTTTGTAATTTAATCCAATGATGATGAAATTGTACTTTTTGTGGGGGGTTGGAACACAAATTAACTATTTAACTACTGAGCTTGTTCATTGCGATTGCCAATCCTTTTCTATGACTATGAGACCTGCACGCAGATCAATCCGTCCAGGCCCCGAGGTTGGTGCCTTATCTCTCGGCCGTGATGTCCAGTGTTGACTTAATCCAGACAGTAGACACACACGGATAGTGTGGTTTTGTGTTTATAAGTAGTGCTATGATGACCAGTGTACATAGGGTAAGTTATTATTACTCTGATACACCTGCGATCTGTACTGCCAATAAAATGTCAATAAACACCACTGTCGGGATAACTGATTAAACATCGTGTTGGCCTCACGCGCTCGAGTTTCCCCGTTCATATTTTACTTATTCGGGAGCCCCTAAACACATTTGCAAAAGCCACACCACCTGAGGTCATAGCGACTGAAACAGACGACAACAATTACCATCGTTACAGTTGTGATATTGTTTTATTTCGCTTATAACAAAATATTGCACTGTCCTTTTGTTAGGGAAACATGATTCTTTGTTTCCTTTCGATTAATCATTGTGAAACACGATTTATCTCGGGGAAACAAAGAATCGTGCTTTCCAACAACAAGGACAATAATTGTATAATACACACCAGCGACCACCAAACCAAGGTGTAACACATCGCAAGGTATCGACCAACTAAGCAAAGTGTAATTGGAACACGCTCTCAAAATATGACGAGGAAGTCATAAGGTGTGGAGTCAACATTGTGAAAAATATGAATACTAGTTCGTTTACTTTTTAAAGTCGAGTACACCTACTTAAATATAGGGCATGTGCTGTTTTAACTGAAAGGATACATAAAACGTGTGTCATATATTTAAACCATTTTTATAAAACAGCCCCGTATTACTGTATCAATCAATTTATTAAGCGCCTGTTGTTATTATCGAGCATCATGATTTGTATTAATTTCAAACCTAATCTCCATGGGGTCGATCCTTAGTGTAAATACTTTAATATCATAGTAAACAAACGTGACGAGCACGTAATGTGTTGTAAATGGATTGGCTGTATTAGGTGGTTATAGTGGTACGGGGGGCATGGTTTACCTACAGTGGGTCAGGTATATAGTACCCTAGGGATGTATTAGGAGATTATAGTGGTACCTGGGGTACGGCTTACCTACCGTGGATCAGGTATAACGTACACTAGGGATGTATTAGGAGATTATAGTGGTACGTGGGGTCCGGTTTACCTACAGTGGATCAGGTATAACGTACACTAGGGATGTATTAGGAGATTATAGTGGTACCTGGGGTACGGCTTACCTACCGTGGATCAGGTATAACGTACCCTAGGGGTGTATTAGGAGGTTATAGTGCTACGTGGGGTACGGTTGACCTACAGTGGATCAGGTATAACGTTCCCTAGGGATGTATTAGGAGATTATAGTGGTACCTGGGGTAGGGTTTACCTACAGTGGATCAGGTATACCTTACCCTAGGGATGTATTAGAAGGATATAATGGTACGTGGGGTAAGGTTTACCTATAGTGGGTCATGTATATAGTACCCTAGTGATGTATTAGGAGATTATAGTGGTACCTGGGGTAGGGTTTACCTACAGTGGATCAGGTATAACGTACCCTAGGGGTGTATTAGGAGGTTATAGTGCTACGTGGGGTACGGTTGACCTACAGTGGATCAGGTATAACGTACCCTAGGGGTGTATTAGGAGATTATAGTGGTACCTGGGGTACGGCTTACCTACCGTGGATCAGGTATAACGTACCCTAGGGGTGTATTAGGAGATTATAGTGGTACCTGGGGTACGGCTTACCTACCGTGGATCAGGTATAACGTACCCTAGGGGTGTATTAGGAGATTATAGTGGTTCGTGGGGTACGGTTTACCTACAGTTGGTCAGGTATATAGTACCCTAGCGATGTATTAGGAGGTTATAGTGCTACGTGGGGTACGGTTGACCTACAGTGGATCAGGTATAACGTACCCTAGGGATGTATCAGGAGATTATAGTGGTACGTGGGGTAAGGTTTACCTAAAGTGGGTCATGTATATAGTACCCTAGTGATGTATTAGGAGATTATAGTGGTACCTGGGGTACGGCTTACCTACCGTGGATCAGGTATAACGTACCCTAGGGGTGTATTAGGAGATTATAGTGGTACCTGGGGTACGGCTTACCTACCGTGGATCAGGTATAACGTACCCTAGGGGTGTATTAGGAGATTATAGTGGTACCTGGGGTACGGCTTACCTACCGTGGATCAGGTATAACGTACCCTAGGGGTGTATTAGGAGATTATAGTGGTTCGTGGGGTACGGTTTACCTACAATGGGACAGGTATATAGTACCCTAGAAATGTATTAGAAGGTTATAATGGTACGTGGGGTAAGGTTTACCTACAGTGGGTCAGGTATATTCAATAGGGAAATCAAACAAGCACACGCCGGGCTGAAGGGTACCTACGTAGGAGTGATTTACAGTACTTGTGGGGATTTCGGGGATGTCGGGAATAATTTGTATCAGTAATTTTATTATGATTTTTTAAACAAGTTATATGCCACCATAAAAACCTATTTTAATTTCTTACACGTGTCACCAAGGAGCCCAGGTCTTATTGCATGCATTGTATTGCTAATAAAATACATATTGCTATAGAACTTTGGATAGTACTGACACGCTCTCATCAAAACGACCAGGGTATTTTAGATCGATTTAACTGTTTTCGCAACATAACGAACTTTCGTTAATAGTGTTATCTGATTGAAATACCATACATCCGTAATGCTGCCTTGTTCTTACTCCAAAGAGGTACTGGTAATTCATGACGTAGGTCTAGTCGTTCGAACCCTATCTATCAAGAATCGTCGGCAACGTTTTAGTTTAACTGTGTTGTTTATCTGCCTTTAAACCAGATAAAGCCAATAGATCTTTCGGATCTACTACTTACTGTTCGTCCATTACCTGCTGGTTCACACCTCACAAGCCTGTTTAAGTCGTTTGTAATCTTTTATGACCGATAGCTGTTTGGTATATAAGACCGATTTTTCCTGCTGTCTTTTGTTTTGTCCACCTTAGTTTCTGTTGAATTTCCACGAACTTCACAATGAATTATCTCCTGAAATTTTACTTTCTAAACAAACAATGTACGTATTAAACGTGTCTCGCAACCTTTCAGGATCGACTGGTTCCTTTGTCATAACCAGACGGCCTTGAATCGTTACGACACGTTTAATACGTACATTGTTTGTGTAGAAAGTAAAACTTTGATATCACATATTTCCAGACTGATAAATCTTATTGATGATAATTCTCTCCTGTCTTATCCAAATATACTTCGCATTGCCTCTCCTTTCCTGACATACTGATATATTTTCCCATCTCTCCGGTTTTAGATGAAATATTTCCTGATGCTGATGGTACTTCACTGTTGTTCGCACACACAAAAATCAGATTGTATTCAAATATATTTATTTAAACTGTAATGAACATCTGTCCTCGAACAGCGGGATGTGCCGGATACATCTGATGCAAGCTAAAAGGTTTAAGGAAATAATTTTTGTGCTGCACTGTGACATTGTTGGTTTGGTTAAGGGTATGAAGCCATGGCAAGATATTAAGATGCCAGCGGGCAAACAGAAAGATACTAGGTCTCAATTCAGCGGCTTTGATCCCTTTAGTGTCCCCTCAGCAGAGGAGACAGAAATATCATCTACATCTACAGGGGACATAATTTGAATAGCGTTATGCAGTACACTTCTACGGAGGTTGTCTCTTGTGCCAATGTTCAATGAAAATGCAATTCTACCATTGAGTGTATGTGTGTTGTCTTATACAATTTCAAGTTTAATAGGGATACTCCCATCTTACTGTAATGGAAAAGAGCTGTTTTTCTTGCTATCGTTTTCTTCTATGAGAGCAGAGTTGACTTAAATCATAATTTGCTTTCTGTTACTAGTAAGTATGAACGATACCACTCCAACCTATAAACAGATGTTGTAAGTTTGTGTTTGCGGTTTAACCGTTCGTAAAACATGCACTACCATAACACCTATGCGAATTTTTCTTTATTACTTTGTTTGCCATCATTTTTCATCTTAGATTTACATCGATATGTTTACAGGAAGGACCACGTGCACCACGAGCAGACTGCGACTAAGACGTGGCCGGGGAGCTGGGGTTTCCTTACCACGAAATACGAGGACGTGAGTGATGTGTGGATCTCAGTAATCCTACTAAAATATTCACATATCTTTTTTTATTGTCTGCACATAATCATAAGCCTACGCTATCTTTATTTACTATAGGATACTTCCTACGTGTCTGATCGATAATAAAAAACAAAGCAGACAAGATAAAACGAAACAGAAACAATCTGACAGAAATCGATTATTTTAAATATTTATCGATATCTGAATGTGTAATAGTTGAGGATTTGTGTATAATGATTTTTGCTACCTACCACAGCAGGAAGGAGACATTTACTGGCAGGCAAGTATGGGGCTGGCCTGTGTATACATGTCTATTGTCTGGTCGAACCTGTGATAATACCTCATTCTCAGCTTAATTCGTCTACATTAGGCATATTGTCAATTTTTCCACCGTTTTCGACTCTGAAATATTGTCTTCAATATGCATTTTTTCATTCACAATGTGGACACCATACCAACGTAGAATATAATTCTCCAGAACTGTACTAGTCAGAAATCTGACAATAGACAATATGTCGGTACACGAAATGAGCTCAGAATGAATGAGTGAGTGTACACTGATTAGATAATTATGTTTTTTTACATATAATTGTAATAAACAGGTAACAACTGCAAAGGTATATCAAACAGGAGACATTTTCTTTCTTAACATCAAAACCAAAATACTCTGTCTGAAAAGGAATCGAGATTTGGAAAACATATCTCATTCGTTTTGAATTAAAACAAAGTTTGATGTTCCAAAATAAATTAAAACTACAAAGCGATGGAAACAGATTCTTATATGTATTTGTACGGGTTGTGAGAATTGGTGACCAACACGATACCCACGAATTGTTAAGTATGTTAACGTATATACGCTTATCCTACTTCTATTTATGAAGGTTACTTTAAAATAAGGTGGCGGGATGCAGAGTATGATACTAGCAATGTTTGTGTTAAGTGGTATACATACACTGGACACTAGTGTACTGCATATAAAATTACTTGGTAAATACATGTATCATCGTAACTCCATTACGTCAATGCCTGTCATAGTGTATCATTGCCATCATTGCTTGGAACGAATCCCATCTCATCGTCTTTTGTTCTTATCCTTAAGGTTCGATTTCCTCTTTATAAAAAGATTTCATCCTCCTCTTTTGTCGTTGCATTCATCTTAACCGAACACCAATACATATCAGGTTTAATTTTAACTTCAGTGTAAAATAGCATATTTTCGTTAGATAATCATTCTCTATTGATGCAAACAAAATATGCAGAGTAAATATGTTATCTGTAAAGCGTCATAGTCTCTGATAAAATCTGTACAAATTACTGTTTGCATTTTTCTATTGCCAACATATATAATTATATTCATATAAGGATCCGGGAGATGCTTGTTTCGGCATTGAGGATATTGACAAATTATTTGAAGACTATCGGAGCGTCGTCAGTGACATATATTATGTGAAATGTGTTCGAACGTGGTCAAAGACTTATGTTATCAATGAAAATTATTTGAAGACTATCGGAGCGTCGTCAGTGACATATATTATGTGAAATTTGTTCAAAGACTTATGTTATCAATGAAATTTGTTAAAGTAAAGTGTCTCATAAATCGGTTCGGATATCTCTTCACGTTACACTCTGAGATGCCTTGAGTAGGTCGTTTCTCTAGGTGCGATACCCATGGTTAGGCCAACACCCAACAGAGAGAATTGTCCTTCAAGTAAAATATGGTAAACTTTAACAAGGTCAGTTATATAGGGATAACCGCCACCGTATATGAGTATTACCAAAGACATTGAAAGTTTTGAAAATCAATACTTCAATTAATATGTATTAAGGTATGACAGGACAGTACAGACAATAATGATATACACCATTTATATAACGTCCTATATTATTTAAGAAATAACTCTAAGGAGCTTTACAGTACATTATAAAAGGCTAATTAACTTCCGTAAAATGAAATATTGTCTCTGGTAGGGAATAACCAATACTAATAGCTAAACATTAATCATTATACTAACAATTGTTTGTAAAGAAACACATTCTGTGGAATCAAAGTCCATTGTATATTTAGTGTCCCACTATGATGTTCATTTTGAATATGATTGTATGTAATTACACATTTGTAACGTATCTTATTGTATTATTATGAATAGCAGTGTTTGTAGTGTTGTTGGTTCGTAAGAAATCACGAGCAACAATATGATACTAACTGTTAACAAACAAACGCCATTATATATTTCGATCGGATATAACAGGGGAAAACTTTGCATAATTACTAGTAAATCAGTAGTAAATTTGGCATTTACAAAAACACCTACGGAATGTCAAGATAGTGTCTATAGTGTGTATAGTGTGTTTAAACCTTTATCACAACCATGTGACTTTAAACTGTTTCTTCATTAGTACTGGTATAAACAAACTTAGCCTTATATCACGATAATGAATGATATATCTGTAAATAATATCAAAATTATTTTAGTCAGAAGTCTCAAATATCAACACACGCGATTCATTGAAACATGTGAATCAGAGCCAAACTGTGAAACATGTGAATCAGAGCCAAACTATGAAACATGTGAATCAGACCCAAACTGTCTTTAATAGCATTGTATACGTTATAACTTCGTCTGTTGGTTGTTGTAATTCTCTCCTAACCAGATCCCGCCTATACTCACGCCCACACACAGATTCTCTACTCAGACTCAACTCCTTATTCCAGTCAGAGGGTCCCTTATCAAACTTCATATCAGTTATGTTGTAGATATTAATCCTAAACCTACAGCTGAGTAAAATTCCCGTTTTATTTATTTACCATTTGACCCCGTTACTAAAAATCAGCAAGTATGTTTGAGCAGATAATTTGTGTTTGAGAAAGAGAATGGTTTCATGAATAAAGGCCAGGTGAAGCCACTATTGACTACCTTACCGTGGGAGATAACAGAATGTGTTTCTTACCTACCTCATGTCATGCTTTTGTCATCTCATATACTCATTTTATATCAAAAGTTTAATTAAGAAACTTATTTATAGTTTAAATTACTAGGTTCAAAACTCACCAACCTTTACAAACTTACATAAGAATTTAAATACCTGGCAGTTTTGTGTTTATCTTTATTTAACAGAAAATTAACATTTCTTGATATGGTTCGGTGAGTTTTGAATCTACTTAGGTTTGACAACAACGGTTGGTGTGTTACGTGGGACGGGATACGATGCGTGTTTTAATACGTCACACATAATGTGTGACAAACGATGCTTTAGAGGGAAATACATCGTTTTGGCACTTCTGTAGCTTTATCGGTGGTAGGTGATGTTTTGAGACTGCACAATGTTGTGATGGAAAGAGAACTAGATTATCGATATAGTAGACAATGGAAATGTGTGCATAACGGTTTGAAGAACAGTACTTATGACATTCTGGTATGCGGGGAGTTAACATATTATAATTTGGAAATTATTGTAACTAAAGGCACGTCATCATGTTTAGATCATATTACAAAAGAGACAGTGATAACTTTGTCAAACTTTAAATACTACATATTCATATTACGATTTGAGCAAACTAGTGTATTTGTTCTAATGAAAACCATTTTTTTTTGGTAAATTTGTTCTAATTGGATTTATTTATGACTTTGGACGGTAAGGATGAGGATTGCTCCTAGTTGTCTGGAAGACAATTCTACCAGTCACCTGTGCATTTTATTCTTTCACAGAATATTTAAGGTGATCTTATATCGCTGCACGTGAACGACATGGAAACCCCTTTCCTTGCTAAGTTCGGATAACGTAAGCGTTATATTGAAGCCGTACAGTTTTGTTAGAATACCAATCATCTGTTTTGCTTTAAACATTGTCTCCTTTGAATTATTGTCTCTGTGTGACACAAGGGCAGACACAGACTTGCATCCATCCTTATTTGTATCCTTTTCCAATCGCAGTTGGTGAAAGACGATTTCCCTGAATGGGACAAAGACAAGAAGACCCAACCACTATTCCAGATGAAACCAGTGACCCCTATTGAGGAGTACATAAAAGTGGAACCGTCCCCTAAACCTTTCCCCAAAACTACCGCGCGTGACATTGGCTGGAGGTCTACAAATCCCACAAACAAACTGGAGAAATATGGCAAGTACGCCAAGCCGAAAGGGGGACTTATCAGGCAACTCAACTGGCCAACGGAGGCCATCAACTAGTGTGGGAGACAACTTCAGGTGTAGGACGAAACAGTGGAATAATATTAGCGAGAACATCATGGAGGTATACGGTATTTCTCGTCAATCAGCTCCGTAATGGTAGCCGATCTAGAGACTGATTTCGGAGGGGGGTATTTTTCTTTATATACCCCCAAACCTGTATATTCGGAACATAGTCTAAAGAAATGTGCGAGAGTTAAATATAGTATACATCGTTTATAACTGATAGGTAATCCTATACTCTGCAAGATACAAAGAACATTGTCACAAGAAACTGTTTTTTTTTTTTTTTTAATTATTTCATGAATAATGTAAATAACAGAATTAATTGAATTCATATGATAGTCTGTATCAGTAACAGTAACACAACTCACAGTATTATGACTAAGATATTACTGAAAATTCATTGTAAAGTTTTCAAGGGTAATTCCAAATATACTACATTAAATATCATATAATTCACATGTGCTCGTTAGTATGAAATAAAGCACTAATAAGTAAAGATTAATCAAAGTGTCTAAACTTAATTACAGCTGAGCATAGCGAATTGTTATTGGATAGAATGCTGTTAACGTTATCCTGTTTAGCGCTATATTTCGCGGTGTGAAACTTTCGGGATTTTTCATGAAAGCGATTCGTTTGAATAACGGGGCAATATCATAGAAAGTCATTAATTTAAACTCTCGCTGCCCAATGGTAACGAAATCTTTGGGTTTAAATTCGAGTTTTTTTCAGATCACGACTATAACGAGAGTAGATCTTCCGTGAAATACAAGCACCATACAGTACTAGTAGCAATCTTGCCATCGTTAAAAATCTTGTAAATTAACATTAACTACATTAAAACTAAACACTGATACCTTTTACCATATTTATGTCAAAACAATTCCTACACTGACAGTTCAGCACAGACTGTAATCGTCCTAACAACACTACTAACACGAATAACATACAGATAGATTTGATGAATTTGTGAGCACTGCCGTTATACTGTGGACCTGTATCTGGTACCACAACCGCTTATGATATTGTTAGGTCTACCATCTCCTTGTCAATAGAGTTACCTTGGGTAGCCTATCAGTACTTACAGTATTACCCACTTGTATAGAGATATTGGGCTTTATTACAGTTTGTCAAATTAATTCCTGATTTAGTTTCTTATTATTGGCCATCGGGCACAAAACATTGGCAACCGTAATAGCATGTGTAGTGGCCAATTTCAACAGAGTGCGATATATTGGTATACAGATGTTACATTTCAGGTCCCTATTTATTGGAACACGAAATGTATTTACCAGGTAAAAGTAATTTTATCACACATTGTCCATGATTTCTAGTATTGAGCTTTACTGTGCACGTTTTTGTTTTCTCGTAGTTAGTTTACACAGAAGCCTTTGTGACGATTTTCACATTTACTCGAGCTTAAAACTGTATTCGAGGATCTTAAATGTTTTGAAAGGCACAGTAACATTGTTTTGTTCATTTTGGTGCTTTGTACATAGACTTAATTACCATGATTACCTGTGACACTCAGGTCTGGTCATCGTGTTTGTAAACATTTCTATATTAAGATTATTTTGAGATTATCTGTTGTTAACATAGATATCTTAGAATTTCTGTATTTTAATTTATTGTATTATTTTTCTTTTGTTTTGCTCAATCAATCGACATGCAGTAAGCTAGGATAGGCTACATTCTTTGGTTATATCTGGTGTAAAGGAACCTTGCATTATTAGCGTTATATTCAGAAATTCCTTTTTAACTTTGACCTGTTTGTATTACTCACTTTTATTTTTTTGTTTTCTTTTTGCTTGTTTTAGTTAGAGTATTATTTAAGTCTATACATTGAGTCTCTTTTGAGACACAGACATGTGGTGATATCATTGACGTTAGATAGAAATAAGGCTGTGATTTTTGAGAATGATAAATGGTTGTCTTTCATATAATTAGACACACGTACAAATTTAGAACAAAGCACCCCATCAATGTATTTTGTTTCCTCTGAATAATTGTTTGCGGTCGGAGAATCGATCAAAAAATAGATAACATGCTCTTTATTTGGGTATAAATTAATATTTTGACAACGAAATTATATTTGATAGAATTTTCTATGGTGCGATTTAACTGTGATATTACATGTATATCATACAGTAAACTTTACCGGCTGATGTCGAATGATCGGAAATGGAGTTGTTAACATGTTAATAATACCACAGTTACTGTGACGGGCTGTCTTCAGCGTGTGTTCATGTTGTGTTTGCGTGTGAATGACTTTGATTTGCCCGTGATCAGTATTATTATTGTTAAGTGTATAATTATTACTACGTTTTGTCAGCACACTGTATACAGTCTTGGATTACTCAGCAAAATGTTACACTTCGGTGTGTATTGAATAAAATCATTCCAACAGTCAAATTTAACTCGTCTTTGTTAAAGCACCCGTACAAGGTTGCCGGAGAATTTTAACTCAATTTTCACGTGCTCTAACATGCAGATATTTAATTGCCACATTCATCAACATGAGTGTGCAAATACTCAATTAAATGGCACACATTTGATACGTTTGTTCACGTACATCTTTATAAATATTTAGTAGTCTTATTTAACATTTCTTTGCTATGTAACACACAGGTAGTACCACTAATACCCTGGTCTTATGTTACACACTACCGTTGATAACATTATAAAGGTGTCCTAATCCGGATAATGATTGCATGCAGTATTATAATCTAAAAAGAAAATATGTTTAAGGTATTAAACATAATATATTAAGGTTGCAAAAATTAAAAAGTTGAAGGAAGTAATATATTCCTCATAACTTTATACATTAATTTATACAAACTGTTTTTATTTGGAAATCAACTAGTCGGTTAAGGTGATGTTTATAAAACAGGGTTACCTCTCAACAGTTACTTAAATAGTCGTGGCGTTGTAGGTGCTTTGAAGAATGCCTATTGCATAGATATTTGAATGGTATGAACTCTTGCAGCATTATGCACGTTTCATCACATAACGTTTTAGTAAGTACAACGTGCTTCTGTCTATCTTTTTACTTTACCTTTTCAATAATCTTGTGTAAAAACACTGAAGTGATGTAATGCATATTTAGTTATTTACGGTCATGAAATGCATTGGAGAGGGGCATACTATTTTACGTTTACGTTTTGTAATTCACACACGAGTAACATTAAATTTCGAGAACGCAATCTCAGCTTTATTGATTAACCTTTCGTTGTTACTGGCTTAACACGAACATTGTCCTCCTTTGGGCGCAGCGATTGGTCCTCATCACACATGCTTAAGATATCCGTTAACATTTTACAATATAAATGAGGTCCTATACTGATTCATATATATTAATTGTGGAAATATTAAAACCACACTGTACACTCGCGTCATCATCGTTACGTGACACAGTGTCATGTATGACGAGTACACGTAACAGACATACATGATTTACATCGTGAAGGGAGTCAAACGTGATAAAGTATGAAACGCTTATCCTTCCGAAGCACCTAAATTTAGTTCTGATTATTTTGCTGAAGGAATGAGGCCTTCGTTTTGTTTTGGTGTTTCTTCAGAGGCTTGCTGTCTTGCTTTTTATTTGGACGTCTCCTCGAATGCTTGTAGACACGGATGTGTGCTCCTCCATTTTATTTTGAATTATCTTGAATTTGTAACGTTAAATAAACTGATATAGAAGGTGTGTGAATCAACGCTTTTCTGGACCAAATCTCATTATAAACCTGAAAAGAACATCTATTAAATGAAATCAATTTAATACCTTTACAGTTTCCCATGTCATTCCGTATTCTAAATTACATTCCCATGGACAATAATGGAAACTTTACCGTTCATGCTTCGTATTCTAAATCTTTGGTGTTACTAGTTAAGTAAATATGGAAAGATGAGAAAACAAAATGTTCCAATCACAGCATGGTCGCAAGGGTTGTTTCCCCTGCACTTACATATTTTAATATTTTTGTAATATGCGATTCATGATGATATTTTTTATTTTAAATTTAATTCAAATTGGGGGTACACATCAGTGGCACGAAGTGAAAACAAATTGTTCTTAACACAGCATGGCTGAAAGAGTTTCCCCTGTACATACACAGTTCACGTTAAACTTTCCATAAAACAAGACAAAAATATAAAAGAATATTCTTGTATCATTTGATTCACGAGGAAAGTTTTAAATTTAAATTCCAATTTTGCATGCTTTATGTTTTCAGTTTTAAGTATTTAGGAATAAGATAAATTAAAGTATTTATATTCGTTTAATTTGTTTAATTTTGTTTTTCTTTCAAGGTAAAGTCGTGAAAGTTTTGATTGGAGAAAAATGGTATATGTTCAAAATAGAACTTTTCTTGTTACCTGCAAATGTTTCAAAAATATATATAAAATAATTGGGCATCGTACTAAAGGATGGTTATCACTTATATAAGGTATATTTTTAGCATTACCATAAGGCTTTGCCTGTGAGGTATTAAACGTTTGTATGATAAACAATATGATAAAACAGTCGATCAATATGATACAGCGGTGAACGTCATATATTTTTGATACGCTAATAATCTGTATTATTAGTGTGATATGGAAAAGCATTAAGTGCTAGCTACTAAGTGCAGACCTAGCTGAAGTGCAAAACTGATTTTTTAAAAGATATAAACCTGACAATTCGCTTTCTTTTGTGGCATTTGTGGGACTATGAACTCCTCTGATGCTTAAACAATAACACAACACTCTATTATGTTTTTTTTCAAACGTGAATTATTGCCAAATATCAGTGAGAACGCAATAAGTGTTACATGAAGACACGTAATGAGAAAAGTGGGACATACAATCGATGGACGAAAAACCAAAAACTAGATTTACGGATACATCAAAATAAAAGCACAGACATAGTGAAAGACTGAAGCGACATGAAGTAATTAGGAAGGATAAGCGTTTTATACACAACATGTGCTACCCGACATAATCCTGCTTAATCAGAACAAACCGTTAATACATTAAATCATGATATACATCACAAGTATCCTGTCTTGCAATTATCACAAACATGTCGATATCAAGTCAACAGCGTAATTGTACATAAATCAAACTAATTTACAGTTTAACAATTTAACGAAAATAAACGTGTATTTCTGTATTTCTGTTCCTCAAAATCTTGCAAATTCTTACACATTTCAACTGGCAACAATGTATAAAAAGTTCTCTTTAACTGACAACCCTGTATTGGAGGTTTCAGTATTAGATGTTTGAGTTTAACTGGCGACCATGTATTAACTGTTTCTCTCTAAATGGCGACCATGTATTGAATGTTTCTCTCTAACTGGCGACCCTGAAGTGAATGTTTCTCTCTAACTCGCGACCATGTAGTGAATGTTTCTCTCAAAATGGCGACCATGTAGTGAATTATTCTCTCTAAATAGCGACCATGTAGTGAATGCTTCTCTCTAAATGGCGACCATGTAGTGAATGTTTCTCTCTAAATAGCGACCATGTAGTGAATGTTTCTCTCGAAATGGCGACCATGTATTGAATGTTTCTCTCGAAATGGCGACCATGTATTGAAAGTTTCTCTTTTCTCTCTAACTGGCGACAACTTTTGAATGTTTCTCTCTAAATAGCGACCATGTAGTGAATGTTTCTCTCAAAATGGCGACCATGTAGTGAATGTTTCTCTCTAAATAGCGACCATGTATTGAATGTTTCTCTCGAAATGGCGACCATGTATTGAATGTTTCTCTCTAAATGGCGACCATGTATTGAATGTTTCTCTCGAAATGGCGACCATGTATTGAAAGTTTCTCTTTTCTCTCTAACTGGCGACAACTTTCGAATGTTTCTCTATAACTGGCGACAACGTATTGAATGTTTCTCTCTAACTGGCGACAACGTATTGAATGTTTCTCTCTAACTGGCGACAACGTATTGAATGTTTCTCTCTAACTCGCGACCATGTAGTGAATGTTTCTCTCAAAATGGCGACCATGTAGTGAATTATTCTCTCTAAATAGCGACCATGTAGTGAATGCTTCTCTCTAAATGGCGACCATGTAGTGAATGTTTCTCTCTAAATAGCGACCATGTAGTGAATGTTTCTCTCTAAATGGCGACCATGTATTGAATGTTTCTCTCAAAATGGCGACCATGTAGTGAATGATTCTCTCTAAATAGCGACCATGTAGTGAATGTTTCTCTCAAAATGGCGACCATGTAGTGAATGTTTCTCTCTAAATAGCGACCATGTATTGAATGTTTCTCTCTAAATGGCGACCATGTATTGAATGTTTCTCTCGAAATGGCGACCATGTATTGAATGTTTCTCTCTAAATGGCGACCATGTATTGAATGTTTCTCTCGAAATGGCGACCATGTATTGAAAGTTTCTCTTTTCTCTCTAACTGGCGACAACTTTCGAATGTTTCTCTATAACTGGCGACAACGTATTGAATGTTTCTCTCTAACTGGCGACAACGTATTGAATGTTTCTCTCTAACTGGCGACAACGTATTGAATGTTTCTCTCTAACTCGCGACCATGTAGTGAATGTTTCTCTCAAAATGGCGACCATGTAGTGAATTATTCTCTCTAAATAGCGACCATGTAGTGAATGCTTCTCTCTAAATGGCGACCATGTAGTGAATGTTTCTCTCTAAATAGCGACCATGTATTGAATGTTTCTCTCGAAATGGCGACCATGTATTGAAAGTTTCTCTTTTCTCTCTAACTGGCGACAACTTTCGAATGTTTCTCTATAACTGGCGACAACGTATTGAATGTTTCTCTCTAACTGGCGACAACGTATTGAATGTTTCTCTCTAACTGGCGACAACGTATTGAATGTTTCTCTCTTACTGGCAACAACGTATTGAAAAGCTATCCCGAAATGGCAACCCGGTAATTAGTGTTTCTCTTTAACTGGCGACAGTGTTTTGAATATTTCTCTTTAATTGGTGATAACGTATTAAATGTTTCTCTTTAATCGGCGACAATGCATTTAATAGTTCTTTTCAATTGGCGACAAGGTTTAATATGTTTCTCTTCAACTGGCGACAAACTATTGAGTATTTCTCTTTAGTTTGGACCCTTTTTGGAGTGTTTCTCTTTAACTGGCGACAGTGTACTGAATAATTTTCTTCAACTGGCGACAAACTATTGAGTGTTTCTCTTTAACTTGGACCCTTTTTGGAATGTTTCTCTTTAACTGGCGACAATGTACTGAATAGCTCTCTTTAACTGGCGTCACGGTATAAAATGTTTCCCCTTAGGTGGCGACAATTCATTGAATGTCTACCTTTAACTAGCTATCTAGTATTTAATACGTAATCTTCACCTAAGCAACGTCGTATTTATCTTTATTTTCCCGTTAGTTACCAACGATTTTAATGTCATAGTGGTTCTATCCA